TTTTTTTTTTAAAAAAAAAAAAAATTCTGAATATTTCAATTGCATTTGAACTGGGATTTTGAAATAAACTGTTTTACCACAATGTATTGTGTGGTGAGATTAGGAAGCCTATTTCACTACCTTTGGAGTTAAATAGGTCAAAAAGGAGCCGCATGACACAATGTCTTTTTGTTAATTTTATACAGAATGTATCTCATTGCAAACCCTCATAGCAAGTTAATGACATATAAGGTATTCTTTTTTTTTACATGTGTCCCAGTTTATTATTTTTTTTGCTTCAGAAATTTTTTTTAAGAATGTTCAGTGTGTGTTAAGTCTGCAGGAATGTAGCAAGTTGATAAAATCCCATCCAAGTTCACCCTCCTTTCAGGAATATTTTTTAAAAACAGCTTGAATTGCTTTTTATGGAAATTTGTTTTGCAGCTTTCTACATCTTAAGGCAGAGAATAGCCAGGATAAGGTGCCAACCCAAAGGTTAGCTGAACATATTTCTTAAAATAATTTTGGCACAATGGTGTTTTGGAGCTGTAACTGATAATTTGGGGAAATAACATTCTATGTAAACTCAGAAGAAATGTGTATTTGTTTTATTTATTATTTTAAGGCAATGAAACTCTTTTTTTTAAGCATTCCCATACAGTGGAGGATTTCATAACTAATATGAATCAATTGTGGCATCATTTTCAGTTTTATAGATATTAGGAAAGTCTGTTCTACATTGTTTATCAATTTACAATGTTAAACAATGCTATACTGTAACATGGTCATTTATTTCAGTGTTGTTGTATGCAAATGAATCACTGTCAGAAATAGTGACCAAGCTAGCAATGTTGTATATGCTTACCTGGGAATATCATGAAACTTCCTTATGAACAAATCTTGTTAGGATTGCACTGCACCTCTATGCATGTTTCCTTAGAAATATTTCTGATGGTATCTAGCTGGGTCCCATCTAGGCGTCCAAAATCCAGAGGAGAACATAGCATATGTGGTGTCCTATTGGATTGTACTGTTGGCCCATCTATACAGCAGACTCTTCCAACACTCGCCAGCCAACTACATGGGAAAGCCCACAGTTGGCCTTCAGTGGTGGTCACGCTGCCATCCAGCTAATAGCTATTAACCCCATGACATTTGCAACTGCCCAGCAACATTCAATAGCTATGCTCAGCCAGTGGATTTCCAGATCTGTTAGGATTGAATTTCTAGGAGTTGCAGTCCCAACACATCTAGAAAGAGAAAACCCAGTGCACATAAAATTAATCTAGCTGCCCTGTGCCTTGATTTATGTAATGCAGGCATATAACTCAAGACAAGACCCCCTGCTGTGGAACCTAAAATATATTTACTAATTCAATTAGAACTAATTGACAAGGATTCAGAATATTTCTAATCACAATAGCTCTTTAAAAGTTCCTAAGCAAATACCTATCTAGACAGTTACCTCACTAAAGATTTACTTCTCAACATGTTTGCTTCACATTAAGGTGTCCCAACAGATTTGATATCTGGGTTATATTCCTCTGAAAGATTCTTTACACTATTCTTTTTATACATCCAAGTGAATCTTGGAATTTGGCTTACAAACATATAATTATGTATAGAATAGGGTTGCTACCACCAAGGGTGCCATTTGGACTGAATGTAGAAGAAGAATACCCAGCATTTTCTGGGGAAGGAGACTTCCTGTGACTGGAATCAGTCCATATCCTTCCACCCATCTAGGATGCTGCTATAATAATCATTCTTTTTTAAAAATTACATTGACATTTAATAAAGAAGTTGAGATGAGGATTCTATACAGGGATAATGTTGTTCCTTTATGGACTATGTTCATAATTTTGAGATTTTTCCCAATCTTCTAATTGCTGCAGAAGATAAAGCAAGGAATCCTAGAATGGACTTCAGCCCAGGGTTTATATGGGCTGAAGTCCATGCCCATATATTTCAAGAGAAAATTAAGTTTTAAGTTATCTGGATATTTCCATTTCTCAGGCCAAAATTATGGGTGGCTTTGTTTCCAAATCAGTGTCAACCTCCCTTGTGGCAACTTGTTTGCCTGCCATAGTATTTGAGAATCTGCTTCAGACATTACTGTCTGAATAATTCCACTGAACTTTCTGGAGACATTCCAATATTATGTACTACACTAAGGAATGTTTGCCATATATTATCTTGATTTACAGTGTAGATGTACTATTACATGAAAAATCCAAGTAGTTTAACTCCTGGGCATTGGAGATATTTTTGTCCATGAGTGCAATGAAATAACGCTTTCAAAATGTAAAGCAGTGCATTATTTGCTGGGATTGGTTCATATACAACTCTAATCTAAAGTGGCAGTGATTTAACCAGTTGAAAATCTCTCTGGAATCCTAATGCCTGCTATATTTAAAATAGACAGAATATTATTTTCCCTGCATTTGGCACTGTCATTCCAAGGTGATAGAAGAAAAGATTGCATATTGAACTGCTCAAAGATTAAAAACCACCTGCCTGCAGTAAAGATTTCTGAAAGCATATTAACAAACTGTAAATATGCACTTTCAGCCATTGTAATTTTGGGATAATAAACTTACCTGGAATAAAGAATATTCTTTATAAGGTCATACATTCCATTTAAAATTTAATCAGTAAAACAAATTATTATTTGTTATATTGGTATTTCTTGTCAGCAAGCAAAGATTATCAGGTAGCTCCATAATTTTTTAAAAAAACATTCAGTTTTCAAAGGTTAGTCCTTGCTTTAAGTAGCTCCCAAAAATGTCCCCCCAAAATAAGAATATTGCAACATAGCAGCAGCCATAAGGTGACCACACTCGCCACCTCCTGGACCTCAAAAATAAGACCTCCCTGAAAATAAGACCAAGTACTTATTTGTGGGGGAGTCAAAAGAAAATAAGACCCCGTCTAATTTTGGGGGAAACATGGTACAGTCATATTCACAGAGTATTTAAATAAGGTCATTGTCAATCCAGAGTATTCTAATTTTTCTCTGTTGTTCGTATCATATATATAGGGATTTTTTTGACAAAAGTTGCCACCTTGTAAAATGTGAACCTAACAAAATGTTGTTGAAGGATAAGCTTACTTTGCATTTAATTAAAAGCAATCTCTTTGCAGTTTCTGTTTATTTACCATGGCAGAAGGATTCGTTATGCACTAACGGCTGCAACCTCCTAGTAATTTTCCTGGGAGCAGCCCCTGTCCCTCCCTCCCTCCCTCCCTCCACCCACCCAACCCAAGGGGTCTTAATTCTGACACCCTTGATTAGCAACTTGCAATTGTTACAAATTTTTTATTTCTTTACATGACAAAATATAGCTAAGATTTTGTATTTAAATACATATACCAAATAAAGATTGTAGCAAAAAGATAACATTTTGGGGGCAAGAAACCAGTTTTGTTTATGATTGTTTGTTTTATAAATAACTCAGCTTTATTTATTTTTTCTTTGGGAAAATGTGTCTAGAGGTGGAGTTTTGTAGTAGAAACATACAGTACTGAAAGGAAGTACTACTACACTATTCTAACTCTAATAAAGGATACTATTTAATATATTTTATTACAGTTAGTGAAGACCTTGCTGTTCTTTTTTTAACTTCTCAAAACAAACTGTAAAACAACAACAATAAAAGCAGGTAACAGCTACAAAGATCAGGAACATTTATTTAATATCTTTAATTATGTGTGCATTTTAATTTGAGAGAAGAATAATAGTCTTCTTTTTGGGTATTCACAGCTGTTTGTCAACCTGGATGTAAGCATGGAGAATGTATTGGTCCAAACAAATGCAAATGTCATCCAGGATACACTGGGAAAATATGCAACCAAGGTAAGGAAACAAAAAAAAGAGAAAGAAAAACAAATAAAACTCAAATTTCTTTTTAAAACTTCAGTTAATTGCTTTGTTTTCATTGTAGCTAACAGCTATTGCCTAATCCTTATCAGAATTATAAAGGAAAAGTAATTTATACTGCAGAGGTACTGCTTCATTCATTCTCTAGGGCAGGAGTGTTAAACTCAAGGCCTGGGGGCCAGATCCGGCCTGCAGGGCGCTTAGATCTGGCCCGCGGGACCACCCTGGAAACAGTGAAGGACTGGCCCATGTTGCCTCTACTAGCAAAAACGAAGCTTGGGAGGACTGCAGATGGCCCTCCCAAGCTCCGTTTTCACTGGCAGAGGGTTGCAAAAGGCCATCGCAGCTGAAAACGGAGCTTGAGAGGCCAATTTCACTGGTAAAGTGCTCGGGCCACCACAGGCACCAACACGAGGGACTCGGGAGGCAGAGAATAGGTGGGGCGGGGCAAGTCAGAGGTGGTATTTACCAGTTCTCTGAACTATTCAAAATTTCCACTACCGGTTCTCCAGAACTGGTCAGAACCTGCTGAATACCACCTCTGGTGCTCCAGTAGTAGAAGATGTGCTCATCTGTTCAAATAATTTCTGACTTCGGATTTACAAGAAGATTCACCTTCTCAAGGTTTGTATAGCAGCGACTTCTCTATATCTCAGTTTAACGTTCAGCTTTTTCAGGCAAATGCTGCAAATTCAGGATTTAATCAGCAAATTCAGCTTGATTGTCTCTTCCCCTGAATCTAAACTGCTGCTCCTCCTCTTTTAAAGAGAACTGAGATAGTTGAATGTCACATGCAAAAATGGTATTTCCTCTAATAAAGTGCCATGTTGTGTTGCTGAGTTTCAGTCATTTGACTTCTATTATGCCTTCTCCTCCATTGTGAAGCTGCACACCTGTTTGCAACCTCTCCACACTGGTCCAGTGAACCATCTTTTTTCACCACTGCGGAAGATCATGCCACATATTTGCCTTGGAGGGGTGAGGACAATCCTTTTATTTCAGGTGGTCCACCTGCACGGCTTCAATACCAACGGAAACCTCTTTTGCAAACAGGCTGAAAGGATAACAAACCTCTGGCTGCCATGAGGAAGCCTGCAATCTAGGCAGCATGCAATTAGACTGAGCAATGACACTTCCTTAAGATCTTCCAAACAATTCTCTTCCACAACAACTTTCTTCCTGATGTATGCTACTTTGTCTACACTCTTTTTTTAATTGATAACATGCTGCTTGCTTCTATAAGGTTAAGTAAGCATCATAATTGCAATAATTGTTAATGTCCTTCTTCCAGGAACAGTCGTGCTAGTATTAGCATGTAAAATGCATGCACCGTATAGTATGAGCAATGGCAATAATAATAACTTACAGGCAATCCTGAAGCTTTAAAGGCTAACTGTAAACATATCTTGTCATATTTAAGAAAAAAGGCTTATGATTTGCAGAAAATCCAGGATTTGATGCTCCACCTAGAGATTGAGTAGAACATAAGTAGAAAGTGTGTATCTGGATAATGTCAGACCTAGCAAATATCAAGAGATAAGAAAGACAACTATTGCATCTGAGATTCTGCAGAATAGGAAAATTTGAGCTGGAAGAATGGATAGATCTGATCTTATATTTGATTAAGAGGTACAGCAGACTTCCTAGCCCTTTGCAATATATTATTCAAAAAGATAATTAGATTATTTCCTGAAATCTGCTAGCTGTGACAATTGAGCATGTCCTTGGTACATTTCTTCAGATAGACCAGTGTACATGGGACAATAGTAATCAGAAGCTGAATGCTTATAGGCCTGAAGTTCTATAGATCTGTTGGGATTATACTTCTAGAAATCCTATCCAGCATGGCTTCCTGGAGTCCCATCATATCTTGAGAATAGCAAGTTCATTTAGAATAATGCTGCCTGTTTGATAGAGTTTATTCAGAAAAATGTGACTTTTGCAACAGGGAAACTATCAGACAATGTGGCTTGTTAAGGGTTATTATACTAACTGGAACTATCACTCACAAGATTCAGGTAATAACCCATGTAAGCTATTAATTATGAATAATTAACCCGGGATCAATATTTTACCACATCTTCCGGTCCAGGAAATTGTCCTTAAGGTTCTTTAAACATTTATATTGTTACCTGCTGAACTGAGGGTAAATAGCTCCTTTGTTTTCTGCTGGTGCACTTGCAGCCTGTAATTATTAGTGGGAGAATGGGCCCATACAGTTAGAGTTCTTTGATGGTTGGGAAGATGGTTGTCTTGTCCCCAGCTGAACTTTTGTTTGGAGCATGGAGCAGGCAAGAACAAAGAGAAGTTGAAAAGAATTTACATATTGCAGACTTGTCCTGTCCTTCCATACCTCTGTGGATGGATCTCAGCATGGATGAGGTTTCCAAGCCTGATCCTGGAAGCACAATTTCACTTTGTCTAGTAAAGTGATGGCAAACCTTTTCGGCACTGACTGCCAAAAAGGTCACACGGAAACATCGCGCATGCACTCCAGAAAAGCTGAACTTTCAGATTCTAGCATTCATGTGCACCCAACAATTAGCTGGCTTGCACACATGCGCAAGCTGGTTTTCAGCATTGCCACACTCGTGAAGGAATCTGGAAAAGCTGAACTTTCAGATTCTAGCATACATGTGCACCCAAAAATCTGCTCACTGGTGCGCATGTACACATTGGTTTTTGACTCTGCTGCACATGCAATGGACAGCTGATTGTCATGCATGCATGCATGTCAGAAACCCAGAAGACAAATAGGCAAAGCCGGGCGTGCCAGGCGACATGGCTTCGTGTGTCACTTTGAGCACGCATGCCATAGGGTCGGCATCACAGATCCGACAGTTGAAAGTGATTAAAAGTTTTGATTTTATGAAATCCGAAAAGCAGATTTATATTTCACTGTTAGAAGCAAGTGTTGTATTTCATTGTTAGGGGGCAACTGTTAAGTCTTCATTATATATTTTAGCTTGGAACTGCTCTGCAATGATAGCACACATAAGCCCTTTGCTTTCTAAGAAAAGCAATAACCATTCCTCTTCCTATAATGCAGTAGCTAAGCTTGGCAGCCTGCGCTTTTGAGACTGGCTTTTTTTAAAGGGCTGTTTCAGCACCTAGCTTTCGCTATACGCTCTTCAATATATAGTTGTACTGATGACAGTATTCCCATGTTATTATTTTAGTGGTACCCTGTTTGTGTGTATCCGTAGCCCCTGGTTATGAAGAAAAGCATTTCTTATTAAATTGTTTTCAAAGTGCAAAGAAATGGTAGACTGAAGTGGATTTTTTTAAAAAAAGGTTTTGATAATTAATGTTTTTGTAACTTTTTGTCATATTCGATCCAACTTGCTAGATTTACCCTTTTTAAGTTCGTAGAGTATTCTAAGCAAGATGTTTAGGGGACACATTTTCTAATCTTTTTGAAAAATGCAACATGTATGGCGGTTTATTAAAATAGTTACACTTTTTTTTGACTAAACTAAGTACTGACATATTTAGCTCTAACTCAGTGATGGCAAACCTTTTCGGCACTGAGTGCCCGAACTGGAATGTGCATGCATGCACGCTGGAGCACCAGAAACCCGAAGACCAGCTGGCTGGCCCGCGCATGCCTGTTTTTGGGCTATTGTTCAGGCCGTTTTCAGGCTTTTTCCCAGGCTGTTTCCCTGGCCATTTTTGGGCTGTTTTTCGGACCAAAAACAACCCGAAAATGGCCTGGAAAACAGTCAAGAAAATGGCTTGAAAAATGACCTGTTTTTTGGCCGTTTTTTAGGCCATTATCCAGCACCCGCGAAAGCCAGCTGGCCAGCACGCATGTGCGCGCCAGAAAGCAGAAGAGCAGCTGATGATGGCGCATGTAGCCACAGAGAGGACTCTGCGTGCCACCTCTGGTATGTGTGCCATAGGTTTGCCATCACATCTCTAACTAGTCTTTCCCTTTATATAGTTTCCAGTGTACTGGTATAGCATCACTGGCTAAAACAGTGAGTTAAAACTGGAAACTTTGGGGAGAAGAATATGTAACAGTACCATAAAAATGGTTAATCTTGCCCTAATCATTCTTATTTCAATCTTAGGCAAGCCTTGGAATTGAAGAAGAATGTGATGTATCTTACAGCTTTGTGTGTGAATAGATTAAAAACAAACAAACAACCAGGGTTATATGATGTAGATAATTACAACTACTGTAGATTGAAAAGGATTCAAAATTAGTTCTGAGAGTGGCAGGGTTGTATCTGAAATGCTGCACTGGATTGTGTTTCTAAAATGTCTATTTAGTGTATTTGTAAGGCACATGGGGATGTGTGCATTCCTGTTGCTTTGTCTGCATAGTTCATGTAAATGATCAAAGGTGCTGAGGTCAGAGTAAAGGTTGCCCTGTCGTTATTGTATAAAACCCTTTGTAACCTTATGCCTGCCTTAATGGCCTTAAATTATTTTCCGAATGCACAAAATAAGTCTATGGTTCATTTATAGACAATTATTTCTACTTGAGAAATACCTACTAAAGGCTAACATTTTTTTTATTTGTGATTGAAATTTACAGTGGAGCTTTTAATATTTGTATTATTATCATACCATGTTACTGATAAAAATATTGCTGTATATATTCAGTCTTAGAAATCTGTTACGGAATATAAACAGAAAGGTGGGTTTCTGTTCTGTTTTTAACCCAATATAAAGTTGGGTTAAAAAAAAGATTTTTTTTCTTTAATGAAATTACATTGTAGAACCCTAATTCAACACTTCTAGCCTTTGACTGAAATACCAGTACAGAAACAATGAAACTGATGTGAAACATCCAATTTCCAGTTCAGTCTGTAAAATTTGAACCCTAAAATAGTAAAATCCAGACTTTTGACTTCTTCTTAAAGTTACTGAAAAGTTACTGAGCAAAAATATACAATTAATGTTTAATTAAAATTAAGCAAACAGTAAATAGCTTAGTGAAACAGTGTTAATCTATTTCCTCTATTAAGGTTTATTTTAATACTGTGCTCTAACACTGCCAAAATCATTAAATTCGTGTACCAAACCACATGTAGCAAACTATGCGTCATAATCTACACTTTCTGAATCTGAAAAGTGTAAAAGCTTCAATAAGCTATTACATTTTTCCTACAATATATTGTGTATATTTTTATCTATTCAGTAAGTTTGGATTATGTTATCCAGTAATGATTGAATTCCTCATGACAACCACTTAACCAAAGTGAAGGTTTCTTTTTAAAAGAACATACTACATCAGTTTAACTAAACATAGTCATCAAAATCTAAACATATGCTTGGTTCGAAGAATAAGTAACAGAACTGCCATAAAAGACATTTTATTAGCATTTGTTATTGAGAATATTGCACAAAGGTAGCAAGCTTAAAACTATCCACAGCCTTAACTCAGATGATGTTATGCTAAGCTACAATGTGGCTTGTGGGGTATGTATGTATGTATGTATGTATGTATGTATGTATGTATGTATGTATGTATTTATTTATTTATTTATTTATTCATCACATTTTTGCCCATCTCCTTCAAAGAGGGACTCTGGGCAGTCTACAATAAAACATCAAAATATGAAAACAGTATATAAAAAATAAAATTAGAATTTAGTGTAATATACAAGCCAACATTTACTGCTTAGAATCCTGTACAAGGTAGCCTACTCATTTAACAAATTATAAGTACATTTTTAAAAAAACCAAAAAATGTCAGCTAATATATAAAGCAGACTTATTTTTCTAAAAGAACACACTTTGAAACTCCTGAAACTTCAAAATCTTTGCATTTAATGTTTGCTTTGTTTTTATTTTTTCCTCCTCACCCTCCCTATATCTTATTTAGATCTCAATGAATGTGGCTTGAAACCAAGGCCTTGCAAACATCGATGTATGAATACTTACGGAAGCTACAAATGTTACTGTCTGAATGGGTACATGCTTATGCCTGACGGATCATGTTCTAGTAGGTTAAGTTCTCACTGTTTCATTTTTTAAAAAAAAAATATAGTGGAATTCCTTGGAAGCAGGAGTTAATTTGCCTTAAGCAAAGGACTCTATTAAATGAGACCATAAAACAAAACAAAAAGAAGGAATAGCATTCCATTTGTTTTATTTTCACAGGATACAAAAGTCATTTTTGATGTGACTCACAACTGTCATATTTGGAAGGCAATAACATAGCCAGAATTAATGGTGTTTGTTAAGTTGCAGTATTGCTGTCAGAATTCCATGGTCAGTGCTTGACAGTAATTGATTAATCTTTTTACACAGATTGGCTTCTTAGCTTATCTTGGCAGTAGATTCACATCTCCCCTAGTTATAAATATTTGTTGCAGAAGGTAATGAAACCATACAAAGTAGTTAATCATTGTTGGTCAGACTATGCAAATTATGCATATACATTCAATAAAATAAATTTATTTCTTCTTCCTGTCCAACCCAAGAATTAACAGGCTCTTAAAGTAGTGCTTAGTAGCCTTGAAGCCAAGGAATTGTATTATATGACTATCATATTAGGCAAGAGAACCACTAACTACTCTCTACCCTCAAGTCTATTCTCTATCTCTGACTTCTCCACCGCCACCTCATGACTCACAAAATACTTGCCCTGTCCCTCTTTCTTGCTGTGAGGGATTGTCCCCTTCTTCCATCTCTATTTTTTTTCATTAGGAACTCCCTCCCCCCTCCACACATTTCAGTAATTTGACTTTCAGTCTCAGGTGAAACATTCCCTGTATTTCTCTCAGCAGTTATTTCTCTTTTGCTGCTGTTTCTCAATCTTCATTCATCCTGATCAGGTTTAAAAACTTTAAAGCTCAACCAGTCAGGCAATTTTTGGCTTGAGAGGATATCAGAAGCAAAACTTACCAAAAGACCCGATTTCTACTTTCTGCCAAGAATGTTCTGTGTCCTTGAGCCTTTCCAAATATTCAGGCTTGCCGCACTTGTGCTGAGTGTTTGAAATAACACACTACTCTAATTTTTCCTTTCTCCCACCAAGAAAGGATGGGTGGGATAGAGATGTGCAAGTGGCAATGAGAACGTTTGAGAATCCAGAAAGTAATGGAAAACTGAATGCATTTTCAGAGTGATTGGAAGCAGTGAAAGATGAATACAGTGGTGCCTTGTTACTCAACTGCTTTTAAACTCATCAAATTTGGTACTCAATGTGAAAAATTTTGTCCTGGTATATTTTCCCCAACAATCTGGATCCTCATTTTACCGTTTTCGAAAGGATGGAAGGCTGAGTCAACCTTGAGCAGTTCAGAATCGAACTCTTGGAAGTGGGAATGCAGAGTTAGCCTGCAATATGGCATTCTAACCACTATGGTACTACAGGTCTTAATAGTAGAAAGGAAGTTCCACCTTTCTATTATTAAAATAAATTTGACTACTATATTTTAGTACATCAGGAATGAGAGACATAATAGAGTTTTCTCTGCAATCAGGAAGGAAAGATCTCAGCAAACTAAGCACAGCAATGTTTCCATTGGCTTTTTCTGTTGCTAAAGGGCATGGCAATTTTAAAAATAACTTGACAGCGTGGAACATTCCGAAGCATTTGATTAGCATATTAATTTCTCCACAGACGCTCTCACGTGTTCAATGGCAAACTGTCAGTATGGCTGTGATGTGGTTAAGGGGGAAATACATTGTCGCTGTCCTTCACCAGGGTTACAGCTAGCACCAGATGGCAGAACATGCATTGGTGAGTAAAACAATATTTATGTTCTCTCTTTCACAAGATGGAGAAATTCTAGGCAGCCTTTCAGAATAAATTTTGTTTGAAGGAGGGAACTTTAGAAACTAAAGGAGCCTTTATAACAGGGGTATCTAAGCTTGGCCACTTTAACTCATACTGGCTGGGGAATTTGGGAGTTGAAGTCCACAAACTTTAAAGTGCCCAAGGTTGGATATTCATGCTTCATAATAATCTATTTACTAGGAAATGTTGAGCACATATCACACTTGTATCAAAATAATACTCAAGCAAAATCAAATTCTTAGAAACAACAGTTCTACTTTCCTGATATCCTAGTGGATTTTTAAAATATTCTTGGGCATTTGAATTCTGTTAATTATTAGGCATGTTGAACTTTTAAAGCAGTGTCGAAGAATAAGATTGGGAAAAAATCATACAAACATTCTTAGAGTTAGTGATATCTGTAGTGATAAAAGTGAAAAAAGTGCCATTTTTGTTTTAACACAGTAATGAATGAATTATTCACAATTGATGTGGGGCGGAAAAAGAGAAACAAAAAATCATTCTGGTTCTTGAAAATGTTAAATTACCTGAATGATTTTTAAGAAGTAAAGAATCTTCATATATTTATAACCAACCTGAACAGTTCATTCAGAAAAAGTTTTTGGAAATAAAGAGCATTATACGATTGAAAGAATATACTAAAGTAATGGAGAACATCACTTGAGCACTGAAATGAATTGGTTCACTTTAAATACTGTAGGAAATCATCACATGGTTTTAAGTACCTTCTCCATATCACAATATTTGTTAGAAGTAAAAATTAACTGTTTTTAGAAACTTTTGCAGAGATAGGTATCTGTTCCTTATGATGATGCCAAAATGATGAAATGTGTGTTGGGTCATCAAGATGAAATCTCTGCCTTTTTATACTTGTGTTGTGATGTAGCATGCAAGGGGCACAGTGTTTGCTTTGTGATTGTATGGTTCATCTTATGCCTTCCTCCTTCTTGCTTCCTCTTATGACCACTTATAATTAGAATAGAATAGAATAGAATTATTTAAAGAATTCTTTGAATTCATTGAATTATATAATTCTTCATTCTTTATTAGCCAAGTGTGATTGGATACACAAGGAATTTGTCTTTGATGCATATACTCTCAGTGTACATAAAAAGGAAAAAACCATCAAGAATCATAAGACACAACACTTAGTGATAGTCATAGGTTACTAATAAGCAATAAAATTTTATTAGGAAACAAATAAAACAATATAAATCATAAAAATACAAGCAACATGGTTATAGTCATAAGTGGGCGTAGATAGGTAATAGGAAGGATGAGAAGAATAATAGTAATACAATCTTAGTAAATAATTTGACAGTGTTGTGGGAATTAGTTGTTTAGCAGAGTGGCATTCAGGAAAAAAAATGTCCTTGTGCCTAGTTGTTCTGGTGTGGAGTGCCCTATAGTGTTGTTTTGAGGATAGACGTTAAAACAATTTATGTCCAGGATGTGAGGATTTAGATATAATGTGCCTTCTTTGTAGCAGCCCCTGCTCTTTGGAATGAGGTTCCTTCAAAGAACCAGTTACCAGTAACCAGTTACCTGCTCTTGATTAATAGAGACATGAAGATATGACTCTTTACCCAGACCTTTGGTGAGGAAAAGTGGGACCCCTCCCTTCATCGCTCTAGCCCTCTTTTATTTTTATTTTTTTATTAATTTTATTGTAATTCCTTTGTGTGATTGTTGTGAGCAGCCCAGAGTCATTTAGAGTCAGATGACATATAAGTTAAATTATTGTGGTTGGTCACACTGTGAGCCAAATTATATTATAAACACAACAATGTGAAATCAGAGTTGCCAGTTATTTAGTTGGTATTGAGCCGAGGTGGTGCAGTGTTTAGAGTGCAGTACTGCAAGCTACTTCTGCTGACTATCTGCAATTTGGCAGTTCAAATCTCACCAGGCTCAAGGTTGACTCAGTCTTCCATCCTTCTGAGGTAGGTAAAATGAGGATCCAGATTATTGAGGACAATATGCTGACTCTGTAAACCGCTTAGAGGGGGCTGTAAAAGCACTATGAAGTGGTATATAAGTCTAAGTGCTATTGCTATTGGTTTTCATACATATCAAGTTCATTCCAAGAACCTAGGATAACATAATGTATCAGGGTAGTATATGTATACGGATCCAAACACTGTGGCCTTTTGCAATTGACAGATGGAAATTTTGTCAATACACTGATTTTCCAAGTGCTGTTTTTATTATAGCACCCAATGTGCCAAAAGCCACGGGGACCACTACAGATAATTAAAAGGCAGATGTTGTTGCTTGATGGTGTTAATATTATTGTGTTCAGATAGAAACTGGATAAAGATACAGATATTTTCAGTTGGATTCATAATAGAACAGGGAATTGAATAAAAGAATAAATTGTCCTTTTGAAAGATACTAGATTTTAGTTACCTTTTTCTAAATTAAACATTTCAGCATTCCAATTCTTCCTTTATCACTCCTTTTCTAACATTCAGAATGTTTTGCACATAATTGTTCTTCACAGGATTTAAAACCGCTTTTTCATAAAGTTACGCCACATTAGGGGTGAGAGATTCCATTTGAAAAGATGGATATTATGTAGGAAAAGTAGAGTTATCCATACATTCATCTTACAATTTAACTGTAATTTCTGCGCAGCACTAATAATGCATAAGAAGTAATGTCCCAGAAGACTATTAGCCTTTCAGGTTATCCAAGATAAATGTGTTTTTGAATTTGAATATATGAAACCCATTGTTACAGATTATTAATGGACTTCTGTTTGTAGATGTGGATGAATGCATCACTGGGAGCGTTACCTGTCCCCGATTCAGGAAATGTGTCAACACTTTTGGAAGTTATATTTGCAAGTGTCATAAAGGCTTTGATTTGATGTACATTGGAGGCAGATACCAATGCCATGGTAATGAAAATCATTCAATAAAAGAAAACCATTTATAGACATTTGTTGCACCAAAGTCAACTTCACACATTTGAAAAATATAAGAAAACAGGATTGCTTTGCTCTTTCTGTCTTCAACTGCCATGTGCAACAGGGAAGCTCTGAAGGGATTTGACACCCGTATTTGCCTGAATATTGTCATCGTCTTTTGTATAATCAGAGACCCCTCTTCTACAAAAATCCACAAACCATGTTAGCCAAATTTGCAACTTCACTTCACCTTTCAGGAATTGCAGAATTCTTTTTTCTTTTTTTCCCCAAGTTTTTTATTTTTTAGAAATATATCAAATTAATGTGTGAACAGTATGGTACTTGGGTGTCATACATTCTAATACAAGTAAAATTGATAAAGTTAACCATAATTATTATGTTTAAATCAACTTATATTTTAATAATAATAATAATACATTTATATTAGGCTGCCATCTATCATTATTCAATTATTCCATGTTTTCTCTTGTTACTTTTATTATGTAAAAATGTAATACACTAATATTCCCCCTTCTCTTATTTCTATCACTTATTCTAGCTTTAGTCCTATCACCCTTTATTAAAAGGCTTTATCTTTCTATCCTATCTAATTTCTAATTATGTTACCCACTTAAAAAAAAGAAAATGAAAAACAAATTAGAACAATAACAAAAAAGAGAAATCATTTATCCATCATCTCTTGCCCGCTTCAGTACTTTAATTGCTATGCTTTAAAACAGTGTTTCTCAACCTTGGCCACTTGAAGATGTCTGGACTTCAACTCCCAAGCATTCGCTGGCTGGGGAATTCTGGGAGTTGAAGTCCGGACATCTTCAAGTGGCCAAGGTTGAGAAACACTGCTTTAAAAGAAAGAGAAAAGGAAAAGCAAATCAGAACAACACCCCCCCTCCCAAAGAATCATCTATCCATCATCTTTTGCCCACTTCATTATTTTAATTGCTATGGAACTGTAGAATTCTGTGATTACACTCACTGGATCTCCATTATAGCCAGTCTTTTGAATTGTCAGTGTGAACTCACATTTATCTATGCTAGAACTAAGTTGAGAGTTGTAGGACGCAACTTCCTTATCTTCTGTAAAATTCATGATAGCCATTTAGGCTATAGAAGACTTAAACTCATTATCACCATCTACTGATTATATGGGCTTTTTCTGCCCAGATCTGACAGACCTGAATTATGGAGGAAGTGAAGGGGAACTTAAAAACTAGTCCTATTAGAACTGGGCTGGTGGGGGGTGAGGCAACTTTTTGGCTGGATTCAAATATCTCAAAAAGATAAAGTGTGGTTATATTTGATTTTGCATAGCATCAACTGGAAACCCAGCCGCTATACTTATTAAGCCATAGTTCATAGAATTTTTCCCAGCAATCTAGATATTTAAGATTCAACTTTTAAGATCACCAGACAGCATGGCTGTTAATTTCAAGCAATGTGGAATCATCCTAGAATATGTGGTTCTTTTTTTGTAGCCTTCAGTATTCTATTATCACAGAAAAGCTTATAAGTCAAAACTCAAGTATCTAAAACTTCAAACCTTTGTTGCTTGTATAAGTCCACTGAGACCTTCTTAAAATTTCAGATTCGTGTATAATTTGCCTACTATCTTAATTTTCACTGTTAGCATTTTAATACAGCAATGGGATTTATTTCATTTTTTTTTACAAGAAAGAATGTTAATTTGAAAATGCAAATGTGTGATTGTAATCATTAAAATGGTATTTGTCTTTTTTCCCCCCCTGTTACAGACATAGATGAATGCTCTCTTGGCCAATATCAGTGTGGAGGTTATTCCCAGTGTTACAATACACTAGGGTCTTACAAATGTAAATGCAAAGAAGGGTACAGAGGTGATGGATTAAACTGCATAAGTATGTAATGATCCTTTTAATCTTGTATTCTGAATCCAAATGAGACATGGCCTCTTTGTGAAGCTAATTTTTAGATCCATTTGTGGTTATCTCAGTTTCAAGAACACTTGTAAAGAAAAGAAGCGTATTCTGAAAGTTTGAAGAGCCTTAATATTAGGGCTTTGACATTTGGACTACTTAAATCCAGATAACCACAGGGTAGTCATAGGGAAACACTGTACACTCCAAATCTTTGCTGTTATCTGGAGGCTACCAGGACATCTGTACCATTTTGGTAGCAACATTAAAAGGCTGGTGTACAAATATGTTTTCCAAAGTTGGTAGGGTATTTTTAGTGGTTGGAATACTAAGGTTCTGTGATCAGATAATTTGAGTAATGTACGCCACAAGAATATGCTTTCTTCTATTGAACAAATACCTCAATATCACTTAATTTAGATAATATTTAAGCCCATGAGTATTTGCTTATATGTTTTACAGTTTAAAACTGTGAAGCCTCCACTATATTTACAAGCATACACCTGAATAGTTTCTGTTACTGTTAAAATGCAGTAGCTTTCAAGACAATTCTACAAATTGGTGCTGTCTAGTTTTGTTGGAACTACAGAAGTAGAAGTCCTGTTTATTTTGAAGACTACATATCCAACTTATGGGGAAAAAATGCATCCCTTTGAATATTTGATAATTCCATATACCGTAGATATGGAAATTGTACTCATGAATTAAAGACAGAAAATGATATCCACAGTGCTATAAGCAAGCACCGTAATACTTTTATGTTGATATTAGTCTAGAAATCCTGCTTTTTTGTTTTGTTTTGTGGTTGCTTTTGTTAGAGTTAATGCTGCATCATTTCTTAACTTTGCACATTTCTCGGTTCTTTCTTTCCAGGGATTCCTAAAGTTATGATTGATCCATCTAACCCCTACAGTGTGTTTAAAAGCAATTCAACTTTTCTGAAAGGAAGCAATGGCATGAACAACAGAATACCTGAATCTGGGGGTACAAGATATCCCATCCAGTTGCCATATATACCATATGTAATTACACCAAAGTCTTATGTGAAGACAACAGGAAGACCAACCGTGAAACCAACATACAAACCATACACCAGATTGGCAACACAACCTGCCACAACAAGACCAGCTTTCAGGCCAGTGACAAGATCTCCACCAGTGACAAATCCTCCTCAACAACCCACAGTATTGTTTAAGCCTGTAACAACAACAGCAGCAACAACAACAACAACAAGAACAACAACAATGCCAAAAGTAGTAACTCAGGAGCCACTGCCTTTTCCTAGTGAAACTACACCACAACCAGGACCTACAGTTAACAATTGGATCCCAATTGAGCCACAGAAACCCAGAGGAGATGTATTTAGTAAGTAACACTAGATTTTCTTATGTGTTCATGTGAAATCTAGTTAATTAACTAGACTAAATTCATCAGACAGGGGGCAGGAATAGGAAAAAGAAAGGGAGAAAGAGATGGGTTAGGACAAAAACTATTTGTGGGGGTTAAACAACATGTTTTCAATATTGTTCCACAACGTGACATTTTAGAATCTAAAATTCTAAATTGTGTCTCAGGGTATTTCCTATACTATCACTATTACTGTTACAAACTACTTTTAAAGAATGCATAAGATAGGAATAATCAAAATGAATACATTTATGTCCGGTGTGGCAAAACCCTTTTCTCTACCCCTTCTAGTACAAACCAGGATTATGCACTGAATGATGGTTTTGTTGTTGTTAGTTGCGAAGTCGTGTCCAACCCATCACGACTCTATGGACAATGTTCCTCCAGGCCCTCCTGTCTTCTACCATCTTCTGAAGTCCATTTAAGCTCACGCCTACTGCTTCAG